TTGATGGCCTGGATCCAATTCCATGACCCCAACCGCTGGATTAATCCTGGTGACATTTAGCATCGGCAGGTGCCTAAATTGCCTGGTAAAAGGGTTGCATATGGCTAATTGAAAAGGCGTAGTGCTAGTTGATCTTAGAAGAATTAGACCAGCTGTTGCAGAAACGGGTCGGGTTGGGATTGGGAGAAAGTCAAGTGGTAACATGTACCAACTGCTGTTGTTGTTGTTGTCAATTGGATTAGAAGCACAGCAAAAGAGACCGCGGCTGCGATTAGGCAAGGCTATGAACCATGGTGGATGTCGCCGCGGCGACTCCGGCGTGGCCAAGTACCTAGCACATTGATGCCAATGGCGGCAGGAGGATTTGGCGCAGGCCAAGGAGTCAGGGGAAAGGAAGGAGAAGACGTTAGCTAGGAGATCAAAGGGAAGGTTGCTCCACATACCGAAATTAAAGAGAGCACGGAGGAAGAATGAACAGACAACAATATGTTATGTGGCACAAACTTCAATTATTGGTGGGCTGGGTGCATTCCCTTATCATTGTGAATGTGAGGGCGGGATTTTTGCATAGGGATGTGTGACCACATGAACTGAAAATCTGACTCGCAGTCACATGGGAGCGCTCAATTCAATACTAAATCTACCTTTGTGCCTTTTGTGATTTGAATTTTAAATTCTGAGTTGGCCGCAGAGGGATTTGTTCTTTGGACCGATCAATATGATGATGAAAATTGAAATGCCTTCTTCATCATTTACTCTACTCTGCATCCATCAATTGTCAAAGATGCTAAGGGCAGCTCCAATGGGGGTGTAATGGGGAGCCATTACACCGCTCCATGACACGGCTCCCCATTGGAGCCGTGTCATGGAAATTACACGCATCACATGTATGATGCGTGTAATCCATTGAATGTGGGCCCTATGGCAATGGTAAAATTCCAGCACAAAGCACATTTAACATTTCCAACGGTTATATCCAATGGCACTATTTTTAGAATTCTATATAAACACACAACACTTTTTGGGAACACACAACACTTTTTGGGAATGCGGAATTACGTGATCGAGAAGTACATCATCAACTTCGATTAGACTTGGTCGAGCATATTTGGGAACGATTCGAAGGCAATGACAATGAAAACTAGTATTCATTTTGTTATTATTTGTATTTTATTTGATTTAACTTATGTAATATTATGTTATGGAGTTCAACTAATAAAATTTTCATTATTAATTAAGTATGGATTATTATGATATCTTCGCATTTGAAGTATCAAATATTTGTTTAATTTCCTACATAATTATTTTTTAAAAAATAACAATATATTATTTTTGAAACATAGAAAAAGATATATTATTCAAACTTAAAAATTAATAATATCATTTTTACAAAATAAAAAAATTCAAAATGTACAAAATTTAACGAAAGTTAGTACTTTATTTTTTAAAATAACAAAATTAGTTTTAAAAATTACTTTATTTATTTATGGGATATGAGTTATGCATTATTAAAATAAATATTTGATTAATTGTGGACCCATGCTATTACACCTTGTGGAGTGTAATCCATTGTGAATGAAAGTGTAATAAAAGAGGAGAAAGTGGAATGCTGACGTGGCATGTGGATTACACTCCACAAAGTGTAATAGCATTGTGGATGCTCTAAAGAGCTTCTTCTGCTCTTCTATTTTTGTACCTGCAATAGTGGAAACTATCGGGTCCCATTCATGGAAGGAATTTCATCATTAACCCAAGATTCAATGAACCGAGTTGCCGTTTGAGATCAAAGAAATGCAGCTACAATAGTTAAACTATCACACACTTCAGTAGAAGATATTTGAGGAAAGTTCACGGTGCATATATGCCCCCATAATAAATAAAAAAAAAAAAAAGGAAGGAATTTTTGCCTAAAGGTTTTTAACAGCCGCAAGCTACGCAGATGGTTTCCGACACTACAAGCATCTATTGGTCATTGGATATTGGATCAGAACTCTGATGAAAAACGACAAAAAATAGCGACTAAAAATCATGATAGAGGTTTATCTGTTGAAAATGACAAAATATTTGAGTTCCTTAATCACAAGCTTCTTTTTTTTTTTTTTTTATCACAAAGTTCCTTAATCACAAAGTTCATCCAAAAGGATCCAGTGTAAGTTTTGAAAGTTGAAAGCTTATCCAAACTTGTTTTGAAAAACAACAATCGGTGTTTGACAAAAAATCAAACAACAATTCGGATTAGGTTTAGGAGTACATGGATGAATGCAGGTGATGATGAGAATTATGAAAGGCGAAACCCACAAACAAGCGAATGGTGGTAATGCAACCCCCAAAAAATAAATAAATCACGAGGACACGTCGCCCACGTACAAGTCGCTATTCACGACAGAATAGAAATGGGAACCAAACATGGCCTTACTGTCGTCGGGTCGTGAATTTGCTATTTGCGGGAAGAAAAGTACAAAGTACCAGACTTATCATCTCATCGGGCAATTGGCTATGGCGTCGTTGTCAAAGAAATGGGCCAGGATCATTTCTCGCGTCGCTTCTCAAATTTATTTCCTCCTCATTATTTTCCAAGTTCCTCTTTTCAGGTTATTTACTGCGTGCATCTTTAATATGTCACCATGTCCTGCTTACGCCCAATTATTTGATTCAATCTTTTCCTTTTTTTTTTTAAAAAAAAAATTTGATGGGTCCTTCTTTTATTGTTTTATTAGTTTCCCTGAAGATGTAGCACATCATTCAATGTTATGTAATGGGTCCCCTTATTTTGAAAGATTAGCTCCCAAAGCAATCATGTCATTGTGAATTTTGACAATTAAGATATGCCATATAATCTTGTACTATTACTATTAGGCGGCCATCCTTGCTCCTCTGGACCAGTGCTCTTTTTGTTGATTGAGATTCCAGCCTGTGGATGGATATTGGATCAATTATATGCATCTTCTTGTGTAAGTCCTGAACCTTCCGAGCTAAGGGAGGGAGGATTTGGAGTCTCGTAAGTTGAATTCTGTCCGGTATAAATGGTTGAGTTGCAAATTCAAGTTTAACACCTATTTTGTGCAAGTTTATCCTATAAAAATCATAACATATACATCAATCAATTTGAATTATTGGATAGAATTCAATTCAAATTGTAAGATTTAGATCTAAAGACGGGATGTTGTCGAGGTAGATCACAGCTCTGGGGCAATTTCTTGATGATTTTCCCATTTATTGTCCCCAGTACCCTGACTTGATGCTTCTTGTGAAGAGCTTGACGTTAGTTGAACGAAAAAAAAAAAGGAAAGGTAATGATATAGTGAAAAACCAATCAGCGCTCAAAGAAGTGCTGCACTAAAAAGAAAATTAAAAAAACAGAGAGAAACCAACTACTGCATTACTTATCCGCCTCTATTGTTTTTTATACCAATGTCAAATGTAGTGCTGAATTCTGTCGCCTGCATTTTTCAAATTTCCAGTAGGGGCTGCAACTGAAGATCGCTTGATTTCTGAAACATTGTACTTTTGACCTCAGATTCCCATGTAGAATTGGCATGTGCGAAACACCTATGGAGGTGACATCCTCTCAGCTGATTGCGAGTGAGGTTCTTCCTACAGTGGTAGTAAAGATCATTCTGTCTCCTGGAGCCATTGCAAAAGCCATTACCAAGAAAACAAGCATGCCGACCTACAACGACTTGCTGAGCACTGGGAAATTCATCAACATGGGTAAAGGGCCGTCAACAATCGATCTCAAGCACATGGAGGTTTGTGTTATCCCATTCGCGTGCGATACAGCACAATAGAGAAGAATGCACTGGTTTTTCCTCTAAAACCTGTTTTCTTAAGCTAATGATGCGGTTACTTTCTGCTCCATACAGGTTCTTGCAGGAAGCTACTTCTCTTTAGCTGGAGCATTTCTAGGTCTAATGAGATCTGGAAGGATGAGCCTCTTTGGGGTAATGCTCATCATTTTGGGAATTGCCAGGGAAGTCAATTTTGGAAAGCATGCGCCTAACGATCCTTCTAAAGAAGTTTGCATGTACCGTTCAATGTACATTGCTGTGCTTTCTGCTTTCTTTTCTATTAGAGGGGATGTCAGAAAGCTAATCCGCTGTAGCAAAGTTAAACATATTATTCATCCGCTCAGGCATTCAAAAGCAAAGCGTAAATGAGTTGATAACTTCTTGTTTTACATTTCTGGATTTTTTTCACAAAGATGATGCAGAAGAGGGGAAATGGACTTGTCAAGGCATTGCCATTTTGCTGCCTCTATTATAACTTTCTGACTATGCGAATTAGCCCAAATCAAGACAGTATTCCGTCTACTTTGACACAAATGGTCATCTCAAGTTAGCCGGTGTGTATTTCACTTCCCATCTAGCTGTAGCTTATTCTGGCAGAGCATCAACTAGTGCCACAAGGCTTGTAAACGAAAATTTGTTCCATTTCCTGATTCATTTCATCATGTGCTCACTAGCTATTTACAATTTTGTAACATATAAGCTTTTGTACAATGCCGTGATATCACCGAGACTGGAGTATCAGTCTTAAATGTTGGCAGGTGGTTTGATTGACATTCAGACTTCTGTGAAGTCTTTTTGTTCCATTTTGGAGCTTATTTGACAAGCTGTTTTTAGTATATTAAGGCATAATCTTATTGTTCCAAGAAAGAATATGCAAACTGCATAAATAAATATTGACTAAATCGGGCCGTAAACTGTTTAATCTTTCAACCAACAGAACCCTTATCTCGATAATAAGCCAATCGAGCTAAGTTATTGATGATGAGCTGTAGGAATTATTTATGCAGTAAATAATTACTCTATCCAAAGACAACCATTGACAGCAGCAAGTTGGTTGGGACCTGTAACGTTCATTAATCATGCAGATTCAAGACCCATCACCCTTACCATACCTCGTCCAATTAGGCCAGTCCCCACTTGCACTATCGCCCAACATCAAAGCATGCTCGATGATGTAAGATCTCTAAAACTAGCAATGAATCTTGTCCTGTAGTTATTGTTTAAGTAATTCGCTTTTCTAGACCAAAAAACATGATAGATAGACCATTACACAAACATTCCAAAGTTGAGTTTTGCCACGAATGATCTGTAATTGGTTTGTTTATAGTGTATACAGAAGTAACGTCTCTCGTACTAGGAGCTTGCCAGCCCACTCCGCATTTTCAAGTTTAAATGTTTAATATTTTCCTTTTCTGCTTTGCTGTAGAATAAACACACAGAGATTTATGCTTTCTTTTGGGAGTTTTGCCTCTGAAATTCCGAAAGAAAAGATTTGGTGGCTGTTTGAGCTGTCATCTGATTGAAGGTTGCTATTTGGGGGTCTAAAGATTTTAGATACAATCAAAAGCTGGCTTTCAGGAAGCAGAAAGATATGGAAATTGAGAGAATCGTTGCTGAGTTTTAATTAGGCTGAGCCTGGACCCGTTTTCTAGGTATCCCTTTCAACAGTACAAGAATCCGGGTGGAATTTTTTATTTAAGGGCTTAATAAAACTTCAAATTGACCAGATTATGGGGCTCTAGAGGCTGGAAATCAAAGTTCTGGAGCGCCTGCTTTTGAGATTTTGTATGCAAAGCCAAAAGGAGCAGTCTTTTTACGAGGGCGCAAGGAAGTTTAGCCAAATTGGATTCGTATAAAATTTGGGATACGCCTAGCTTTGGGTTCTTGCAGAAGAATTCACAGAGTTTAGCGCATAACAGGCCAAAGTTAAACAGAATTCCTTTCTGGTACTCTCTTCTGCTTTGATATTGATAAGCATGGCAGCCTCTTTTCAGTCATTGAATCATCCATCTCATGCTTTGGGTTTTATAAGCAGGCAGAGAAGTCAGAACACGGTCAGGAGAAATCCTGTTCTTGCTTTATCTCCATCTTCTATTATCCCAAAAATTGAAGAAAGCGGTGATCTACTGGACTTTAGCAAGAATTCTCGCTCAACTAGTGCTCTAATAGATGGTGGTGGTTCATTGCTTTCTCGCAACTCAGTAGGAGTTATTGGTGGTGCCTCAGTTGTATCCACTGTGAAGTTTGCCAAGAAATTGGTGGACTGGAGTTCGAAGGATGCCGAGAGTAGCAGCATCCCTTTTGTTCTTTGCTCTGATCCAGTACTAAGCAAGGAGCTTTTGTTCCACGAAAGGAGTTCTTTGCCTTTCCTTACTAGTAAGGGTGAACATCGAGCTAAGGATCATGGTCCAGCTGTTTCAAATCTGAGAACCAAGAGAATATTTCTGGAGAATTCTGGAGCTGGTTGCATTGTGACGCCTTGTCATGTATCCCATTCATGGTATGACGAGGTTGCAGAAGGATGTTCTGTACCTTTTCTTCATATAGGCGAATGTGTTGCCAAGGAGCTAAAGGAAGCAAAAATGAAGCCTCTTGAAGCTGGAAGTCCACTACGTATTGGAATTATTGCAAGTGATGCGACGTTAGCTGCAGGATTTTATCAGAAGAAACTTCAAAATGAGGTATTTCCATCTACTGCGTGTCTTTTCTTCTTGTTTCCTGTCCCTTTTCTCCATTTTTTTTTTATTTTTTTTCCCCTTGGGGTGAATTTTAGGTTGAACAAAAATATGTACTGACTACTGAAATGATGCTGTGTGTTGAGATTTCTGCCTTAAGCATGGATTAATGCTACCTGTTATTATAATAATCGATCATAAAGAAATTTTGCATGAAATGCTTCTGAAAGTTGACATACATTTGTGTACATGTTTGCCTTCAATATTAGTGAAGCGGACAATAAAAAGCCTTTCACTTCTCGAGCATCTAGCTTCATGAGTTCCAAATGACAATAAAGAACCACAATTTAGTTGTGTAACCCTTGCAAATGTTGCATGATTAATGTTAATGTTTGGTGATTGCACATGACTAATGCTGTTAGTTATAAGCTACTCCGATGTGGCCTTTTCCCTGCTATAGATTTCAGGCTTAATATACAGGATTTACTTTCTTGACTGCATAATTTACTTCGATAGGTTTTCTTAATAACGTCTCTCTTGTGATGGTGCTACACATAGCAAGCAAGTCTTAGTTAGACGACTAGTCTGGCTTTTTAACTAAAAGCCTTCTGACAACTTCTATCTAATACTATGTTAAAACTTAAGGCAGGTAGCAGTGAGTAATAGACTTCTATGTGCAAGATGAAAGTATCCTGCAGAGCTAACATCTGTAGGCAGTTGATGCTTTTATGCTTTGTCTGTTTGTTATGCTTTGGCTTGTAGTTATGGAATGTGCCCATTTCATCTGTTCGAATTGGAAGTGAAAATCTGCTAGCCTTTATCTTTGCGCTTGGGGCAATGACGCATCTAGCTAGTGAGGTTCTAACCGAGGCGCGTCTATTGCTGGTTGAAAACTCTGCTAGCCTTTTAGGCCCTTACCTTTCATGCTGATGAAAACGTGTGTATTTCCAAAATCCTGAGCTTATTAATGCAGGGGTTTGAGGTCATGGTGCCGGATAAAGCTACCATGGAACACACTGTACTCCCAGCAATGGAAGCTTTAATCAGAAAAGACATTGAAGGAGCTCAAAATTTGTTCAGAATTGCTTTGCAAGTACTTCTGGTGAGAGCCGTAAACACTATAATCCTTGCCTCTGATGACATGCAAGGCCTTTTGCCTCCAGATGATCCTCTTCTCAAGAAATGTGTAGACCCAGTGGATGCCTTGGCCAGATCAGCTATCAAACATGCTCGTTCTGCTGAAATTGCTACATAGCGAAACAGCCAAATGCGCAGAAAGATGCATTTGGTTCTAAATTTAAAACTTACGTTCCATTCTTTTAAATGGAGGAGGACCCTCGGAACCGAGATTTTCAGCTTATGCTTGTACTATCATTAACAGGTGTTGCTGCTATGAAACACAATCACTACAACTGTAAATCATAGTTGCAGTTACGTTCCTGTAGAATATGCAATTTTTTCACCCGCCCCAAACACCCAGGAAAATCACGGTATTGAGAAAAAACTCAATGAGGATGTGCCATGCGCACAATCACGACCATCACGAAAACACTTTTGAGGTGTCGGGGGCAACAGTTGGTCTAAAATGTAGTAACTCGATGCGTTCAAGAGGAAGGGAAAAAGCGATGTTCCAAAATTGGTTCTTTTTCATGAAAGTGATCGTTTACCCTCAAATTACTAGTTAGTTCGGGGAAGATGCATCTTTGGCCGACTTGAAGAATACATTTCTTGAAGCTCTAAGTTCCAGCTTGGTAAACCTTTTTCAGACTGCAATTATACCCCGTCAAGGTAAAATTGACAAAAATCATGTTTCACTTCTTACAATAGTACAATAATCTGCAAGAAACTAAATGGGGACCTGAAAGGCTGAAAGTCATGCTACTCTTAGCTGTCTATTTCTTTCTTCTCTACGTACTGCACAATACAATCAAAGGGAATACACGGCACTTTTCCAAACAAAAGAGAGAAAAGAAGTGATCTTCGAGACACTTTTCTTTGCTACACCTGAAAGGTTTAGCAAAATAACTGCGTCAAATTCAACTAATAACAAATCTCTGCTAAAGAGATTACACTATCCTTCAGTCTGAACAATAATTACAAAGAATTTTGGTATATCATTCACGTTTTCAAAATTCGGCATCACAGGCTGCCTGGAGGAACATGTGGCATACTTTCAATCCAATCAGCATAGACATGACTAATCTTCTCAACGTTGTTCCACTTGGTAAGCCACTTCTTATGCTTCTGCTACTTGTCAACGGATCTGATCTCCTTCATACTTGCATCCTCTACATCACCAGCAACATTTTCTGCCAGTAAGGATTCTCCAGATTCCACTGGGGGGAAAAACCAAACTTTTGAAGTTCTGCATAATCACATACACAAGAATCAATAGTATTCCTCTAAAACCCCTCCGTGGACCCTCCCCTGAAAGGCACCATTTTTTATATTCCTCCTTGACAGCAGATCCATCGTCTTGCCAACATAAATACAAGTGTAAAAGCAACTTTTTGGTGAGAAACCAAACTGAGTTGCACTAAAACAGAGGTGCTCTACCATCTAGGTCCTCATGGCAAATATTCTTCGGAAGCAAGAAGATCAGGATTTTTATTTTCATCTCCACATGTAGAGTATGAGTTAAACTTTCCTAGATTTATCTTTATTTTGCTCTGATAGCCTAGTGCAGGCAGATCCCGTGGCATCAGAGTCAAAGTGTGGGCTTGACATGTGCTGAAATTTTCATCAATAAACACCATGTATATAATGCATTTCCTTTTCACCAAACGTTTTTGGAATTCAAATACACAGGAAGATGAGCTATGGACATCAAACAGCCAGACAACAAGCATGAATATCCAGTGAATGTTTTCATAAAGAATCTTCATTTAGTTGTGACAACTACTTCATGGGCCATAAGAATTCAACATTAAAGACAAGGTCCACCATTCGTTTGATTGAAAATCAACAGCAGTAGACTTGTAGCCTAACAAAATCAGAGCACTTTGCGATTGCAGTAAATATTAAGTACTCTTTTCCTGAGCTACATCTACTATTGGAAAATGTTGAGTTCGTAAAATTGACAGGCCATTCTATAAGTGCTTACACTGCCAGGTTGGAACTAGCTTTAAGAAATTAATTCAAATATTGTCAAATCACAATGCTGACAAACAGGGGATAAGTTGATCACATGAAAGTGCAAAACACTAACTTGCATTAAAGTGCAAAACACTAGTCATTCTTGTTTCATGTTGTCTGTTTTTGCATCTTTCTACTTTTTTGTTTCAAATATCCCAAATACAGCAGTAATAGATCACATGAAAGTCGCCTCTTGATAACAATGAAAAAACAGATAGCAAGAAACTTAATTAACAACGAAGACAACCTCTCTGGCTCTAATCACAAATGCAGAAAGAGAAATGTCCATAACCAGTGTACATACTCAGTATAACTAAGATTCACGGAAAACAATATGGTCCAACCATGAGACTTCGTACCAGCCGCCAACATTGTTTACCCAACCATTGGTAGTGTAACTGCGTAAATGTCAAATGAATAAGAAACTAATCCACTAATTACGACCAGAAGCAACATCAAGTAAACCAAACGAATCTAACTACAAAATACCCGTAAACCCATGAGCATATTAGCATTTTTCACCATCCGGGCAGCTACCATCTTATTCCCACTTGTCACGGAGCCTTGTCTTCAAAGGCTCTGCCTTTTGTTTCTTTTGACTAGCACCATCAGAGTTTCAAATCCATAAACCTCTTGCGTTCCAATTGACCAAACTGTTTTCTGTAACCCTCAGTTTTTGTACTCAAAACAGTAATTGCAGCAGTCTGCCTAAATTTAGGCACGCGAAAACCTCCCTTATCATCTCTAACACTAAGATGAAAAAAGTTGCATCTATTGCCATGTGGACATTCTTTTCCATAAACTGAGAACCAACAGTTGGTCCTAATCTGGTGGCCACCCACAAGTACACCCATATCGGAGTTCTGTAATTCTCTTCACCAGCCTCATCATGACTAAATACACAGTTGGCCCCGGAGTTGCAGTAGCCACTTGTATATAGCCGGCAGGGCTGTGGCCTGGCATTGATGGGCCCTGCTTCGTTTGACCCGGAAGTTGAAGACAACATGACATTCTTGAACTTGAATTAAGCATTGGTTCAGAAATTCCGGGTTTCTTGAAAAACTGAAAATCAGCTCCAAAATGCCTGGTAGTACAATAATCATCAAACACTTGTGGCGGAGGCCAGTAGTAATCGTCAAACACTTGTGGAGGAGGTCAGTTGTAATGGAATTGATTCGCCCCATATTCCAAATGGAAAGGGAAATTTAAGGGGTTGTTAGTAGTGGTGTTCGCGTTCATGCATGAAGAGTTTGAGGGTTTTGTGGTTTTAAGACAAAAGAAGGTTACCAAGCTAGCGTTTTGGACGAGAGGAAGAAATTTAACTGAGATTTCAGAGGATTCCTGGGCGGGATTTGATGAACTCTTGGAGGGGAATATGGGGAAGCTAGAAACCACTCAGGTGCAGAATTGTGCATTTCGCGATTATCATCCAATTCAAAGGCGGGTGAGGACAGATTCTCATTTCCATTCTAGTAATGTGAGAAATTTTTTTGGGTAAATAACACCCGTGGTTTGTCACGTTACTACATGATTGTTCTAAGGTTTTAAGATATTTACATAATCGTCCTATAATTTTATATAAAGTGAAAGTAGACCGATAGCATCAACTATTGCCACAATTGAACTAAAGTGCTCCAAAAATTGCACGTAATGGAGTCATATAATTTACTAAACCCCTTGTGGTTCGCATAAGTATCCATTTTATCCTTTTTTTTTTTAATTTTTCTTAGTTGAGGAAGGATGGAATTTAAGTATTAGGAAGAGGATGGGGGCATGAGTATCCACTTTATTTCCTGTAATTTTTTGTATTTATTTATATGATTTCCTTATAGTTTTATACAAGGTGGTCAACAATTGTTTGCTTTAATAGTTAAATGAGGGCAAAATTGGTATTTTAGCTAACAACTTTAGGGATGCTATTTTCCATCAAGCTTTTACTCTATATAAAACTATAAAGGAGTTATGTGTATATTTTGAAGAGTTAAAGAGGTCAAATGGTAATTTGTGAATCTAAAAGGGCTAATATATCATTATTCTTACGAGCCTATTTGGATAGGAGTTTTGTAGGAAAATAATTGGCCCTGTTTGGAAGGTAAGTTTTTTGAGAGTTTATCTAAAACTTTACTATAGTTTACTGTAAAAAAATTTTAAAATGTGTAAATTTTTGAATATTTTGAAGTGTATAGTTTAAAAATTTTAAGAAATTTTTTGAGATTACTGTAGCTAAAGTTTTTAAGAAACTTATAGCAGACAAACTTGACAAAAAACTTGAGTTCCAAACAAAGCCATATTTAAGAGAACGGTAGCTTTTAGCTTTTCAAACTTTCCCGCTATTTGCAGTGCCAGGAAGATAAAAAAAAATAAACTACAAACAAAAGTAAATTAGGAATTATGTCGAGAAAATATTCCAAAAATTTTTTCCCTTGAAAACTCACATTCCAAATGAACCTCAGGGTACGTTTGTAAAAACTGAAGTTTGAAAATTGAATTATGAATTCGTTAAATTACTGAATGGTTAAATACTAAATTTGATATATTTAATTGTATATCACATTACTTATTACTTATTTTTTAGAGCAAGTTTTGCTTGAAAAAATTAGTATCAGTTAATTAATTCAAATGTTCTAATTTTAATATCAAATGCATCTTAATATGTTAATATCTGAACCCATTAAATTTAAGTGTTGAATTGAATTAACAAACAAAATCCAAGCCTTTGATAGAGAGAACTACGGAGTTATAGTATATACTTCAAATCATCGCATGAGGGTAAATCAAATCCTCCAGGACGTGTTTAGGATCATGGTGTTTTTGCTAAAAAAAAAAATATTTTAGAGGACAAAAGCATTTTTAACATGTATAGTGAGCATCATTTCTCGAATTTAGGATTAGAGCTTTTGGCTAGTAAAGCACTTCTGGTATAAGCTCAAAATTGGTGCTTTTAGCGCAACTTTTATGTTACAAAAAATTTAAAAATTAATATTAATAAAATTATTATAAAATTTGAACTAAATAAAAATATAAATATGTTTTAAAAATTCAAAATTCCACATTATTAATGCAAAATGTACTTAAATAAGTATGTATCCAAACAATATGATTAAGCATTTAAATAAGTATTTGACCAAAAGTTACCAATTAAGGACTTGTTGATAAGCCACTACAACTATGAGCCGGTCCTTAATTCATTGGGGTGGATCAACTAGTCTAAAGATTAGCAACTTGCTTTATTTGAAAAATGAAGTACCAAGGGAAGGTATTTTGAAATTTAAAAAGATCATTTTAGTGATGTTCCCCAACGCTTAATCGCCCTT